GGAGAGGAAAGCCAAGGAGAACCTAGGGTGCTGTCATGCCCTCCTCTGGGCAACTCAGCTCCTGAATTAGGAAGTCATTCAAAGAGAAGCAGCCATTGTCCCTGTCTCTAGCACTAGAGCTCTGGCTCCAAAATTTTGCCTGGGCAGAGAAGCAGGCCATAAACAGAGTCCAAGTCTCTCCCAAGGCACAGACTTCGTATACAACAGTGTGGAAAAGTTCAAATGAGGGTGCTCTCTCAGTGTAGGTTTTGGTTAAAAGGCATTTGGAGAGGGCAGATTTGTGGGGATATAACTAAACTGTTGGAGTCTGTTAGGTTGCTAGAAGAAACTAGGAAAGCCAGCCAGGAACAGCTCTTTTTGAGTCAGAATAAATTTTACACTGACCCTTGAGAACTGCGCCATAAAAGAAGACTAAACTTGATTGGATCGGTTTGTGAACAATTTAGGCCCCAGGACTTTGTTAAAAACACAGAGCAATGAGCCTGTGCCATGGTCAGGAGAAGAGACAGACGAAGAAGCACCTCCAAATGAGTGCCATCTCTGGGTGGCTGGGCATACTCAAGGCTGTGCCCCTCAGGCATCATAAGAATCTTCACACTGCTGGGGGTTGGGTAGACTGACTTATAGCTAAAAATATAGAAGAATCATAGACTAATCATAAAAAAAAGAAAAACAGCCCATTGTTTGTGTAATTGGGCAAAGGACTTAAACATTTCTCCAAAGAAAAACAAATGATCATAAAGCATGAAAAGATGTTCAATGTCCTCAGTCATTTGGAAATGCAAATTCAAAATCCACAATAAGTATACCTCTTGAATACATCAATAGGTGACTTTATCAAAGAACTGATACAACAAGTATAGGCAAGGATGCAGTAAATGGGATTCTTCTACATTGCTGGTAGGAATGTGAAATGGTGCAGCCATCTTGGGAAATAGATCAGTAGTTTTGCAAAATGTGAACCAGAAATTCCATCCAAAAGAAATGAAATCCTATGCATATCCCACACAGAAACTTTTGACAATGTTCTCAGTAGTATTACTTATTATAGTCAAAAAATAGAAGCATTACAAACATTACAAATGTCCATCAACTGATAAACATAATGTGTATGATACATCCACTCCGTAGGATCCACAGGATATAAAAAGGAATGAAGTACTCATATACCAAACATGGGATGAACTTCAGAAGCTACATTAAAAGTGAAAGAAGCTAGGAACAAAACACAATGCCTTGTATGATTCCATTTATATGAAATGTTCCAAGCAAATCTATAAAGTAACTAGGTGTCAAAGCTGGTGGTGGGAAGAGGAAGAGGCTGCTAATGAACATGGGGCTTATTTGGGGTGATGAAAATGCCCACAGTGATTGACTGCACAACTCATGCACATACTAAAACCATGAAGCTGTACACTTTTCAGTGAATTTCTGGTATGTGAGATGTCTCAATAAGAATTTTAAGTCCTTGTTCCTCTTTATTACTAAAGCTACCCAGCTTTAGTTTCTATAATTTACCAATATGGGCCTTCAAAACCCTTTGCCAGCAGTTCTCCAATTCTTTTCACATTTCCCCTTAATTGGAATCCCCTCCCTAAGGTATAGTCAAGTCACTATTCATTTGGAAGATTTTCCTGACCAGATCAATCCTTCTTCACCTAATTTTGCTCTAATTCCGTATCTCTCATAACTGGCAGCACCGTAATCTCAATGTATACATAAGTCATTTCACTTATTCCCTTGAATTCTTGCCTTAATCTCTTTTACTTTCTCAGCGACAAGTAACAAATGCTTCTGGACTTAAAAGGGGGTTCATCCACCTAAAAACTAGCTAGCATTTGTTGCCCTTAATGCAGAGAACTAAAGCAGATACTTTAAAAGCAACTGAGGCCAATAGGAAAAGGGAAAGGTACTAGAGAAAAGGTTAATCAAAAAGAATTAACCTAGAAGGTAACACCCACGCACAGGAAAACAATGTGAGTCAATGCCCTGTATAGCTATCCTTATCTCAACCAGCAAAAACCCTTGTCCCTTCCTGTTATTGCTTATACTCTCTCTACAACAAAATTAGATAAGGGCAAAATAGTTTCTGCTGGGTATTGACGTGGGGGGGAGAGGGGGGGCAGAGTGGGTGGTAAGGGAAGGGGTGGGGGCAGGGGGGAGAAATGAACCAAGCCTTGTATGCACATATGAAAAATAAAAGAAAAAAAATGGGGTTCATCCAATAACCTACTCACGTGTAAGTTAAAAATGGATTTATATACCTAACCCAGCCAACATCCTACTAAGTAGCACACCACACAGAGTTTTGGTTTTGGCCCCAGGACTGTGGTTGACAGAGCTGCAGTCTGCTGTCGCTGCCCAGCATCATGAGAGCATTCACCCACATACTGTTAGCCAGGAGGTCAAAATTCAAAGTATGGTTTCTGGGCCAGTGAGTGGGGCTCAGTAAGTGCTTGCATAGCAGTGCATGGCACCAGGTTTATTCCCTGGAACCATAAAATCAAAACCAAAGTATGTTTCTGTTGAATGCTATTCATTCTTGCACAACTGTGAAGCTGAAAAATCCTATGTTGAACCATCCTAAATTGGAAACCATCCATGTTACTTCAGAATTGTAAAGACCAAACATAATTTTGTGAACTCAGCTAGAACCTTAAGACAAACAGGAAAAAAGTTTACAACAAATACTCCTGTAGAATCAGTAATGTCAAAGTGAATAACAAGCATGATCTGTCCTTTATAAACCCTGCCAGCTCACCAGCTTTACATGGCAGAACCTCAACTATGTCTCTATATCCCTTATACCATTTAGGACAGCATCTTGAACACAGATGCACCAAAACTCTGCTGAATAACAAATGATTAGTACATGAATGCAACTTATGTATGTATTGAGTAGTCCTCAAACCTTAACAAATATCCCAAATCTTAAAACAGGAAATGGAGATGAAAGAAAGAAAACTAAAATACGGGGCTAGGCATAGTGGTATATGCCTATAATCCCAGTTACCTAGGAAGCTGAGATTGGGAAGATTACAGTTTGAGGCCAGCCTAGGCAAAATATTAGTGAGATTCCATCTAAAAAAAAAACTGTAATCTCAACTACATGGGCAGCATAAGGAGGAAGATGGAGGTTTGAAGCCAGCCTGGGACAAAAATACTAGACCCTATCTGAAAAATAACAAAAAAGGGCTGCTGGTGGCATGGCTAAAGTGGTAGAGTGTCTGCCTGGCAAGTGGAAAGCCCAGAGTTTAAATCCCGGTACCTCCAAAAAAAAAAAAAAAAAAGAAGAAAGAAAAAGAAAGGAAGGATGGGGCATGCATTCACTTTTCAATATGAGTATTAGAAGTATGTATCCTTATTGTGCTTTTTCAAGGTAATCTCTTACGCTGCCCTCTAACCTCAGTGTGTGGTGGGCATCCTTAGCTTTCAATAACTACTGCCAGAGAAGAAAAGAAGACCACTAAAGGACCCAAGAATTTAAATATAACAGTGTACCTCTTCCTAAAAGTAGGGGCCAAGATTCACACTCCTATGCCTCTTCTAGCAGCCAGGAAGAAATTAACAATGAATCCTAGAAGGACAGAACATGTGAGGTGAGAATAAGGAGCACTGGTTCCAAAGAATAGAGGGTTGCCAGGAGCAAAACAGAAATCTTATTATTTGAACTTCTGAAAACAACAAAGATGGTAGGTTGGTCATACAAAAAACACAAGCCACAAATGGCTAAAATCCCTGATCCAGACCAAGTGTAGGAACCCAGAATCAGTAAATCCAAAAGCAGGTCTTTCTGGTACTTTGAACAGCCAAGCCTAATTCCACTAGTAAAATTTCCCTCCCAAGCCCTGAAATAATATGAACACAAAAACACCTGTCACTTGTCATACTGTTTTAGAAATGTTTTTTCCTCTTTCTAGTCATACTTTTCTGGTAACTTGTGTTGGGTTGTTTAGAGGGCAGAATACACACATTGTAATCACTCAGATCTGCTTAGATTTCCCTGGTAGCAAAGCAGTTAATTCCAAATTTATCCTTATTTAAGTTTGGTAGAGACTTTTTAAACTGTTTGAGTCTCTTTAAAAATTCTTTTTATTTGTAAACACCTTTAAATTACACCTTTGCTTTCCTGCATTTAAAAAATATTCAATGGTTTAGATTAAGGGATTATGGCATTTCATTTTTCTTCACTTCATATATAGAGTACTAAAGAGCAAAGACAAAGATAAAACCAAGAAGACAATGTTTCTTAGAATATTATTTTTTTCATTTGCTATCTTTTTTTGCATTCATATATACAGGTGCTAACACTCTGAATATTAAATGAGGCATTTGTATTTGTTTGTTGTTTTGACACAGGATCTCACTATGTAGCCCAGGGTGACCTTGAACTTGTGATTCCCCTGCCTCTGCCTTCCAGTGTTGGGATTATAGAAATGTACCACCATGCCCAGTTCTCAAAAAAGCATTTTTATTCTGGTTTCTTTTTTCCAGAAGACTAATTACCATCAAGATGTTCTTCATGTATGAAGGAAGATAACATTCAATTACTACTCTTAATGACCTCAATGAGATATCCAGTGAATGCTTTGTTTAACAACATAAAGAGGACACATCATTTTTAACAGTTAAAAAGTACTGAACAAGAAAGCAGTTACATATAAATTTTGCAAGTTGATAGAATCAGGCAAATGTACAAAAAAAGACCTTGATTTTTAGGGATAAAGGAGTTGGTAAATAAATATGAGATAGGGTCTCATTATGTAGCCTTGCCTGGCCTCAAACTAGCAATGCTCCTGCCTTAGTCTCCTGAGTGCTGAAGTTATAAGTGTGAGCTACTACACGTGGCTTAGGCAGTAAGGGCAGGATGGCAGTACCTGGCACATACTACAATCTCAAAATATGACTGCTAAATAAAGAACTAAACTAAGAGCCTTCATGAGGTACACAGAACATAAGTCATTTCTTATGAAAAATGAACTTATTTAAGAATTTAAAAAAGGGAGGGTGGGTACAATGGCTCACATCTGTAATCCCTGTTACTCAGGAGGCAGAGATTAGGAGGATCATGGTTTGAGGCCACCCTGAGGGAGAAAAAGTTCACCAGATCCCATCTAAAAAAAAAAAAAAAAAAAAGCTGGGCATGCATCTGTCATCCCAGCTATGTTAGAGGCCAGAGGCAGGACTGTGGTTCAGGCTGGCCTGAGGCCCTCGGTTCTAACCCCAGTACAGCCAAACAACTTAAATATGACTTAAGCTAAAAATATTAACTATGTATTGAATTTACACAAGAAATATCTTAAAAGCCTTGCAAATCTCCTTAAATTTCCCTAGTCTGCCAATTTAGTAACTTAATTCAAAATTAAAAATTCACTTCTTCCAGTTACAGTGTAAGTAATATGGCTGATAGGACAGAAAACTGGAATAGCTTGAATGATTTTTAAGAATTACATGGTCTTCTGTCCACACAACTAAATAAATTTAAAGTGAACACTTGGAAAAGAAAATCAAACAGCAATGTCTCCAAAAAGGAAACACAACTTACCTCGACTTGAAAAAGCTCTCCAGCTCCCTCACAGTCATTGGATGTGATTACTGGGGTATGAATATGCACAAAACCACTGTCCTGGGGAAAAAAAAGAAAAAGAAAAACTGCTCTTTTCAATATATCTGCATATGAAACAATTCCAAGAACACATACCGTCTTACACTACAAAAATGCACTAAGAGAATGCCATATCTAATCCCTCCAAAACTCCTCAACTTTAAGACTGTTGAGATCAGTTGAGTGGTTTTCTTCATTTGCTGGGTTTTTTTGTTTGTTTGTTTTTATTTTTGAGACGGGGGTCTCACTGTGTATCCCAGGCTGGCCTCAAATTCGTGATCCTCTGGCCTTAGCCTCCCAAATGTTGGGATTACAGATACACACCACCATGCTCCCTGAGTTGAGTGTTTTACCATGTACAGAATCACAAAGAATTTTAAGTCTGGAACAGACTTTGATATCAACTTGTGTAACTTCTTCATTTCAAACATAAGGAAATCGAGTATCAGAGAGACATCATGAATTTGCAAAAGTCACGCAACCAGTCAGTGGCTAGGTCCTCAGGAACTATTTGTAATCCTATTTCTTCTGCCCACTTCTCTAACATGCTGGTGGTGATTTAAAACACACTCACCAAGGCTAATGGGTGATGAAGATGTTGGCCAAGCTGCTAAGGGAATGCAAAGTGAGCAACATCAAGTTCAGTTATCATGGAAGGGAACATCGATTGTAAGCAATTATCAAAAAAGAAGAACAATTAAGGTCAACACACAAACAGGGACTGAAGAATAAACAGCAAAGTTGCAGAAATGACTTTCAGGGAGTCTCTGTCACTCAATCGATGGCAGAATGCTTTGCTCACTGCATAGGAATATTCTGAGCAGCACCAAGTCCATCCATTACGAGGCTTCCAATCAAAGTCTGAGACGATTTCCATTAGTGAACCACAAAAGCTGTTGCTAGTAGGATTAAAATAACCTGTCAACTTCAAGGTTATGCTTCTTTCATTCTGACCATGGATGGAGCCAAAAGGTTACATTCAGCATAGATACGGTAGAGTGGGAGTGAAGGCAGGTGAAAGTGAATTTATAATACAAAGGCAGAAAAGTACGTGCTTAATGCAAAATTTAGCTATGAAATCAATACAATCAATTCATACATTCATGTCTCTGCCAAGTTCCACCTGTCCAGGTGGAACATCTCCAGGTATTATCAGGGACCTCCCAAATAGGACACTTCTGAATTCAAGAATTCTGGTTTGAATACAAAATATTTAGTCAATGACTTGCTTCATGATATAGAGGGTTTAAATATTCAAGCTATAATATGTACTTGAACCTGAGAGCAGTATGCCTAGGGTGCTGTGCAGAGCACGTTATAGAGTGCTAACGAGATATAATCAATAACACTACTGCATAAAATTTTTATCTCCTAGGAGCCAAGAATATGGACACAAACCATTTATTCCACAGAATGTAGGCAACTATGCGCATGTGCACAGTAAACAAAGAAAGTGAAAAGTCCAAAGGAAACCAGGGTGGGGAAGGGGAGGTAGAAAGAGAAAAAACTAACTAAAATACAATTGCTAAAGTTAGTACTGCTTAAATGCCACAAGAAATAACACTGTAAACCTGAAGTAAATAACTATCACATAAGGAATGGGATTTAAAAAAAAAAAAATCACACAAGGAGTGAGAATTATCTTTAATAATACCAACCTTTTCAATAAAGGTTTACCAGCTGCTAAAAAATGCTCCTCAAAGTCCATTACATTACCAACACTATAAAGGAGGAAATAAAAAGAATAAAGCAGCGCAAATAAAGTCAAAGAAGGAAAGTGAGAGTGGAAGCAGATAGAAAAATGGACAGGAAGTAACAAAGAAAGGTGGAATACTGTCACTGTCTGCCTCAAATGGGTTACCAGCATCAGATACTTATGCTATCCACAGCAAAGGGGTTCCTGATTAGGGATATGCCCACCAGAGAGAGGCTAACACTGCACTCAATTTTCAAGATTCCATTCCCTACCTCCAAATACCTACATATTTTGATACACATTTTAGAACCAGATATTTTATAAGGCTCTGAGTATCTAAAAATTACAAAATTCACATACACATCACTCAGAAGACTGATGGACTATATTTTTCTTTCACAACATAACCAAAATAACTATCACTATTTTAATCAGCATCAACAAAAAAAGAAATACGAGAAAAACTGCTCAACACTCACCATTGGCAACAAAAGTAACAAGAAGAAAGAAAGAAACAAACAAAAAGCCATAAAAACTATAAAAGCAGTCACACAGACTGAAAAGAACCAGAGCACAGAGTAAAGACTACTGCACTCCACAGAAGACTTGGAGTCTGCTATAAGGAGGAGGATAAGCCCTAAAACTCACAGGCAGAACCTTCCTATAGTAACAAAAGAAACAGTACCAAATACCAGATAACACAAACTATTACTTAAGTATACCCAGAGTACTATAGTGACTTCTTTAAACAATTCAGTACCAAATGTCACACATACAAGTATAACATAGAATGAGACATCAGGATTTTTCAGTTAAAAAGTGAATTTACAGCACTTGACAAGTGTCTATCTTTATAACTCTCCATCAATAGTGCTAGAACTCAAGTTATTTTCAACCATATAGATGTTATAAAACTTTACTTCATTGTACTTAATTTTCTTGTTACAGATTTTCTTATTTTTAAATTGTTTAGATTATGTGTAAAAGCTTCAATTGATAATGAAACATAAGTACGTAAAGTTTACTTGTCAACAGATGGCCAATACTACCACCTAGTGGTCAAAAATCTGTAAAACTGTTTCAGAATTAAAGCTGGCACACTTTTCAGCAGCTGTTGAAGTCAATGGGAAAAACTGCATTTTTAGAAGTAAACAGATTTTATGTTTGTGTGGTTCAAGCACTACTGAAGAGCCATATGGAAGTTGTATAGTAAGCTTGTAAGAGCATATGTATTGAATCTCTCTGTGTAGCCCCAGCTGGCCTCCAACTTGCAATCTTCCTCCTCAGCCTCCTGAGTACTGGGATCACAGGTGTGCAGCACCTCAGCCAGGCTCAGCTGTAAGCTTTATCTGCTGGACCAGATAAAGGTCACTTGGTGCCCTCCCAGTGACATGATGTACTTATCTTTGAGCAAGATGGAGAAACGGATTGGATCCCTCTTACCTGCAACAAAACAAACAATAAAAAACAAGGCAAAGCACATGAAGCAGTGCTTTTCAAATACTGGCTATCAATACCAGACAACAAAGACAGTGCTCTCCAAGTGATGGAAACAAACATGATGAACTCTACCAGTCACCCAGCTTACAACACTGAAATTTTCCAGCCACAGCATAGGAGGAGAAAGTTAAAGTGGGGCCAAGCACTCAATGAGTTGAGAGAGACAGCTAAGAGTCTGGGAGACCAAACTGGCTAGATTTTCATGAGAGGAAAGAACTTCCCAGAGAACTCCAGGGATTTGCAAAGGGGCATTTAGGAGTAGAGAATTAATTAGTATATGCATGGAGGAAACCACCCAAGAATTAGGAAAGAAATCTAGAAAAGTTAGAGGAGAAGGGTGTGGTGGTACATGACTGTAATCCCAGCTACTTGGTAGGGAAGGCGGGAGGATCAAAAGTTTGGCCAGCCCAAGCAAAGTTATCAACAACCTGTTAGGGAAATCTTATCTCAAAAACAAAAACAAAAGGGCTGGGCATAGCTGAAGAGATAGAGCAGTTGTGAGTGTGACGCCCTGGTTTCAATTTCCAGTACCACAAAATAAATCAATAAATTAAATAAGTAAACTAGAAGAAGCAGCGTGTAGTATTTACATATTGGCTGAATGTTCCCACAAACCTAAGTGGAAAAACTCATAATTCACAAGCACAAGGTAGAGTTAGTTCTCAGGAAGACCACACTGAGCACTATTCCATATCTGCTAAACAAAAACAGAAGCAAAGCCCCAAAAGATCAGTTTGACTGCATACCAGAACAAAGTTCAAGAAGCTTCATAGGTATCCAGCACCCAACAACATAAAATTCATAAAGTATGGCATCCAATCAAAAATTAGCAAACATACAAAGAGGCAGAAAACATAACCCAAAATGAAACTAATCAATCTATCAAAAGTAACTCACAACTGACAGACATGTTAGAATGAGAATATAAAAACACTTTTTAGATTAACATTGTACTCCATATGTTCAAAAAGTTAAGTACACATGGAAGATATTAAAAAAAATAATAATAATAAGGCCCAGCTGTCTATGGTGGTTCTTAATCCCAGCTACTTAGGGGCTGAGACAGAAGGATCACATATTGGAGACCAGCTTGGGCAACTTATTGAGACGCTATTTCAAAATAAAATAAAAGGAGCTAGGGATATACCTCTTGCCTACAAGAGTGTTTCCCTAACATGTAGGAAGCCCTGGGTTCAATTCCCACTACATCAAAAACAAACAAACCCAGTCCCAGTGAACACCTGCCTATGAGTTGTAATGATATGAAAAACACACTGAATGAGAGTAAACAAAAATTAGGCACTGCAGAAGAAAAGATTAGTAAACTTAAAGACAAAGCAAATGAAACTATCTAAAAGAAAGCAGAAAAAATTGTTTAAAAGAAAAGTACATTAGGGTGCTAAAGGGTATCATCAAGTGACCTAATATATAGGATCATTTCAGTTCCCAAAGGAGGGAGGCAACAGAAAAGTATTTGAAAAATTATTGGCTAAACAATTTCATAAGCCAGCACAGTGGCACATGCTTGAAATCCAGCTACTTTAGAAAGCTAAAAGGGACAACAAGTTCAAGGCCAGCCTGTGTAAGACTCTGTCTCAAAAAACTATGTTTTCATGAAATTATAAACTCTGGATCCAAGATTCAACAAAACCCAAAGAAGCATAAAGAAAACTGTGCCAAGGCACATTACAAAATTCATAAAAGCAGATGATAAAGAGAAAATTTTAAACTCAATATGGTGGGAAGAGAAAACAGAAACAGTTACATGTAGGAAACAATCCATCCTAGAAAGTAGAGCGAATGAGAGCCAGGACTAGTAGCAATA